TGGTAGAAGAAGATGAGGAAAACAGGCCCAGCAATTCTGTTTAGAGTTTGATGTTTATATTGTTTGTCAATTTAAAACGTAAACAATGTTAACCTCGGTCCTGAAGTCAGATGTATTCTTAAAACTGTATATCCATTTCTAACCTTTGATGTCATTTTGTCTTTATTAAATAAAAAAAAAGATAATGTTTTGTAAAACTTAGTTGAAATTTGAAGATAACCACAGTAGCATGGTTAGCTATGCATGCGTTGTCATGACGCCAAAATGTTCTTGCGAACTGCTATGAATGAAGAGAGACAAATCATGGATAACAATAGTAGCATAATTGGATGATAATTATGAATTTTCCATTTAAACCTGTGTGTTTTTATTACAAAAAGAGGCCAAATGGAAGCATGTGATAGAATATAGGTATAAAACCATCAATCAGGTCTGAAGAGTAGAAAAAGGTAACATTTTATAACTAATAATGAAACGTTAAAGAGGGAAGATTACCAATATCCAAAGGTTCAATAGAAAAAATGACGTTAATAAATGCTACAATGAGTTGAAAGAAAATGATCTTTTTCACTTTGATAAACTCATAAATTAAGGCTTTTTGATTGTTTTAATTCATTTGCTTCATTTAAACTTTCTAAAAACAGTTAGTTGCAGTAAAAGCATTCCTCAAGCTTTCCACATTCCTTTCTGGTTGCATATAAAGTCCTCAGAAAGCAGCAGACCCCCGGGCCGCTCTGATTCCGCCTCACTGGGCCGCGACTGGAGAGAGTTGCATAAGACTCCGGCCAGACAAATTAATCTGTTCCTGTTTTTGAGGCTGCCATCACAGACATTAATCCAGAGTCATACTGTTGCTCTCCAGTTTCATAACTATGCTGACAGCCACCATGATGTTATCCGGCTTGTTTCATTCCCTTCCTGACCCGTGGCTCGTGCGGTTTCTGACGCATCTACAGAGCAACCTGCCGTTGGGGACGTCAATCCAGTCCTTCATTTTTATTACAGTTTCTCTTCTCCTCAGGTCAGGAATAAAAATATTTTCCCTCCTTTAATGACATTAAACCTGCACCATTTAATTAAAGCTTTTCGTTTACTTCACAGGCGATATTTAATTCTGTCCATATGCATCTAAATGCAGCAGGAAATATTCTGGAGTGCATCAAACCCATCTAATGTCAATGCACAGTGAAAATGCACAGTTGCCAGGGGTAACGGGCCATTATCCGTGTTCTGTCAGTTAGGTTTTTGCACCATGTCCCATGTTGACCTTCTGTCCTCACTAAATGGCATTTTGAAAGAAGATTGAATCAAAGTGCAGGGAAGCGGCTTGTGTTGGTGAGGCGGTGGGTGGACAATAAGCCTTACGGCCAAGGCCGTTACCTCAGAGGCCTGTGGGCTGGCCATTCATCCCAGCAAACAAAGACAAGGGACGGAAGCAAGAAAATGAATATTTAGACGTTTAAAAAAAAACAACAAAACACATCAGCTGTGCTGCTGGAGAAATCCAAGTATTAAAAACGCCTTAATGATCCTGGAAAACTCAACCAACTCAAACCAGCGAAAACAGAAACGTCAACATTTTAATTCAAGATTGATTCATCAATCTGTCTGGCTGATTTCTACTAATCTGAACCTCTCAGAAAACAAAGCTCAGTTTATTCAGAGGCTGCACCGATACAGATTTCCAGTTTTCTTTGAGGTCTGATGAACCAATTTTTTTTTTCTTTTCTTTTTTCTTTTTCGGACTCAAAATACAGAAAGACAAAACGAGGGCTGCATGTTCCCTGATGGAGGTAGAGTGGTTTGGGACAGCAATCACAGGAAATTGTTTAAATTCCGTAAAAATGCTTCCAACTGCGTGTTTTAGTAGTCCAACACCAAATATACACCATAATATGCATTAATACTCTGTCACAGAAGGCAGCATTGTGTTCAGCCAATCAGCATCAAGCTCCTTCACAACCACTAGTAAATAGCATGTCAAGTAGCATTGTGCCTCAGTATTTCAGCTGCCTAAAAGTTTGAATTTTCTGTAGAATATTTTAGATGTGCTCCATGAAGAAATCCAGGAATAGTTTGGAGTTACGGCCCACAGAAAAATATGCATTTTTTATGAAACTCAGAGTCCAAAGTTCATCCTGTTGATGCGTTTTTAGACCAGAAAGGTGGAAGCTCTTGGTTTTCATGCTGATTTGCTTGAAACTGTACAACAATAATCAAGTTTTATTCAAAAAACAGAAAAGCAAAAATTTTTCATACAGTTACTAAAAACAACAGCAGGATATGGATTACTTTCTTTCAGCCAACTGAGTGGCAGTGTGCAGCAGCAGCTAGAGGAGGGGGCAGTGCTACGCTCCTCATACTGTAGGAAAGATGTGACTGAAAATGTAAGTGATTTTCAAGTATAAAACTGGGCGTACCGTGGGACACGGATAAATAGTTTTGATTAGAAATAAAGTTCTGTTTGCTTTGCAGTGTGGAGAGGTGAGGACGAGGCAAGCGGAGGCTGAAGGGGGATTTTCAGAAGGATTTTGTGTTTGTTCTGCTCCTGGAAACCATAGGAGTTAAAGAACTCGCATGCAATCAGAGCCTCAACAAAACAAACACAAAGAGGTTGCTGACACAGAAAAACTGGCAGCGTAATAGAGCTTCTCTTAACTGCATGCTGCTATTTTTTTATTTTTTCTAATGGATAAATTTAGTGGTACATGTGAGCGCAGATGCTAAATGATGGAATCTCTGCATTCGCTCTCACCCACAGCTTTCCCCCCCCCCACCCCACCCTCGGAGCAGACTAAATGCAGTGGGGCCGTTATGTAACTCCAGCTGTTTCCACGGTTCAGTTAATGTTCTACCAGAGGAAGTCTGCGCCATGCTCAGGCTCTACGCCTCCGACCCCGGCGGGGGAGCGGGGCCTGGGGGGGAGCAGCTACTGTCACAAACTCCTTCAGTCAACTTAGCACCATGTCAGTTTGGTGGATATTCTAATCTGACCCATTTGTGACAGGCCGTGTTGAGTTTCTTCCCTTTATGTGGAAGAAGACTCTGGTGTTTTAGCTTCAGGTAGAGTTTATCCAGTTCAGGTTAAAACCACTAAAGCGATTTAAAAAGGAATCAATAATGGAGATGACTGAAGGAAAGAAGTTATTATCTTCTTTTATTTTCTGCAGATCCTAAGGGATTTATCCTTGGTGCTAATTGGCTAAAGAGCAGACATAAGGAAGGCTGTGGATGTTAGCTTCTGCTGTAGCTCCAAAACAGCTTCCACTGTGTTTATTAAATCATATTAAGGTATATTTGTTTGGAATAATAAAATAGGCAGGTCTAAGCATTTTTAGAGGTGGTTTTATTCACCAGCAGCTGTGGACCTTAACCTCCATGAAAACCAGGAGTCCACTGTACAGGAGAAAGTAGAAATCCAAGCATGCAAATTGTCCAATTAGGAATCTGCTCCATAATCAGAGTGGTGACCAGGAGCCCAGTCGTCACATTGGCTGAGCTGCAGAGGTTCGGTTCCAGCGGGATAATTAGGACTGCTCAACTCCAGCAAATTGGAGAAAAAGTGTTTAAAATGTCTGATTCCATAAAAGTTCCTCCAAGACCTTTAGAGTGTGAGCAACAAATTTCCCCTTAGCTCCTCCATCACTCCTCACATAGAGCGTCGCCCATCAGATTTTCTAATCAAAGATAACCTGATAAAGACGGGAGGAAAGCTGACTTGGTGTTCAACACCCTCCTGAACTCTGGGGACGCACCGATCCACTTTCATCACTACTGATACCGATACAGATATCTGAGGTTTAGTATCAGTTATTGCCAACTTTAGACAGAAAAACAGCTGAACTGATTTAAAAAGTTTCTCTTTTAATAAGCACAGATGTAAGTGTACTCAATTACAAATGAGAGGCAACGACGGATACACAGATTCTTTACCCAGGGACGCTGCTCTTCAGTAACTGCCCCTCTTTGTTTCTTAAAGGGTCTGGAGTGGCCTAGTCAAAGTCTGGCTGTCTGAACCCTTCAATGTGGCCGAATTAAAACAATTCAGTCAAGAAGAGTGGACAAAAAATGTCTCCTCAGTGATGATGTCCTGCTCGTCTTCTACCAGAACAACGCTCCATGTTTACAGCAGAAACTTATGATCAACTGCAAAAACTGATTGTTTTGAAAAGATGCAAAGAGTCACAATGAGAACCAACATGGCCAATCAGTTTGGGTCTACGACCTGCATCAAATATTCACCAAACATCGACCCGCTTTAAGCCTTTTGGCTGATATTCTGGGACAGTTTAATGCGTTATTTTCAAATCTAACCAATTCACAGCTAATGCAGCTACGGATTCCTTTGACATCGTGGATAGGACAAGCCTACGTGAAAAGAGACGGAATGAGGAGCCGGGCCGACTGGATGGAGACGCCAGGGTCTCTGAAAGCTGAAGTCTGGGGTTCTTTTTACAGATTAGTTTTCCAGATCAGTCCAAGCAGCTCTTTCCCTGGGGGCTGAGCAGAGGAGAGGAGCGTGTAGGAAAGGCTTTCATTCCGACGCAGCGCTGCCAGTGTTTCCATCCCACAGCCACGGATGCTCAGTCTCCTTCCAGAACCGGCTCCCAGAAACACAGGCTTTTCTGCTGTAATGCAGACTAAATCTCTAATTACAAATTTGGGCTGGAGTTGCAGAAGTCATAATTATGGCGCCTGTTATTATGCAAATTAATTGGCTGATTCCAAAGAATTAATTACCTCTTGTCTCAAGTTTGATTGGCAAATCAGAGTTTTCCGCTTTTATTTCTTATGTTTGGGTTTATTTCCGTCCTGGCGGAGAGAATAGGATTAGACGGAAACAAAGGGCGATGCAGACGCCACATTGCTTGATGTGTATTAACTGAACTGGACGGAGAAAAGCAAAAATTTAGCTTTTTTTTTTTTTTTTTTTAAATGTGCCAGACAATCGATATTTGAAACTACAGACCTCTAAGCTCACTGCTCCCCAATGCACAAAGTCAGGTCCATAAATATTCCGGCTTGGCACAGCGTACTGACCCAAACCCCAGCGGGATGAGCTGGAATACGAGCTGCCAGCCTGATCTCACCACCCAACATCAGTGACACACCTCACCAACACTCCTCTGGCTGGGCTGCAGAGAATCCACAGCAGATTCAAAGACTCCCACGAGAGTTTGAAGGATCGCACTGTAGAATATTTATGTCCGTGGTTCAGGCAAATAGAGACGGACCAGCGACCTGAAAGTCGTACATCTTCAGGTACGAGTTCGATGAGTTTACAGTGAACACATTCATTACAGAGAATTTAGGGAGAGGAGGTTTTATCTGTTTTAATAATAAGGAACAAGCAAATATTTTCTCAAATGTCATCAAGATCATCAGAAATGATCATAAAATGAGGGAATTAAGGCAACTCTAAACGGGTGAGTTTTTAGTCTTGATTTAAAGGAACTCAGTGTTTTGGCCGTTTTGCACGTTTCTGGGAGTTTGTTCCAGATTTGTGGTGAATAGAAGCTGAATGCTGCTTCTCCATGTTTGGTTCTGGTTCTGGATGCAGAGCAGAACAGGAGGACCAAAGAAACCAGAGGCAGGACTAACTCGGACCATCGGAGGGAAGCTTTTTGTCATCCAGTCTCTTTGGCAGAAAGACACAATGAAAAACAAACTAGTGACCATCACCCTCATTTTATTGTCGAGCTCCTTTTAATTTATTGTGCCACTAATTGATTTGTTTATGACAAACCTCTCTGGAATGCATTCTGGTTAATGTGTTGTTGTGGTGCGAAGCCGTTCAGTGATTTATAAACTAACAGTATTTAGTTAACAGGTTGTTCTGCCCAGGTCCCTCTTGAAAATGAGATCTAGATCTCAACAGGGTTTATCTGGTTAAATAATGGAAATAATTTTTTTTTAAAGTCTCTTCTCTCAGTGAAGGACTGCAGAGCTGGGTGATGTGCTCCATCTTCCTGGTTTTAGTGAGAACGCCAGCAGCGCTCTGGATCAGCTGGAGGATTTTTTAGACCTGTGAAGACACTGCTGCAGTGACCAATGCGACTAAACAAACACATGAATGGGTTTCTCTAGATCTTGTTGAGACATTAGTCCTTTAATCCTGGAAATGTTCTTCAGGTGACAGAAGGCCGACTTTGTAACTGTCTTCATGTGGCTCTGAAGGTTCAGGTCAGAGGTCATCACTACACCCAGATCTCTGGTTTCCAGCTGTAATAATTGAAGTTGTGTGTTGACTCTAGATTGTTCCTCCTTAGGTCCAAAGACAATAACTTTAGTTTTGTTTCTGTTCAGCTGGAGCCATTCAGTGTACATACACACCTGTATGATGAGTTGCTGTTAAATACAGGGGTTATTGTGCAAAATGATGTTAAACTGATGGGCAAGAAGTATATATACTAAAGATGTTCAGACTAGAAAAGACATCTGGAGTAAAGAAGAAAGTCAATCTTGTAGTTTACATCTTTAAACTCTCCAGCACTGCAACAGAGGTCAACAATAGGTATTTAAATAGAGTTGTTTCACCTCACCCTCCTTGACATTTTCTAAGTTAGTCCGCCTCCAGGAAAGCATGAAAAGCGCGGCACTAATCCCCGCCTCGGATCCGACTCGGTACCTCCGGTTCATCTCCAGCAGGAGTCGAAACAAAGGCCTGTCAAATGAAATGCAAGAGCAGAGAGGCGGCGCACAATGTGGTCCACCTGAATGACTGAAATGAACTGGACCTGACAAAGCCGAGGGGAATGAGAAAGGCTCCCGTCAACGCTCTGAAGCCTGATTTGCTTCGCTGAATGAGAAACACCTCAAAGCTGGAAGAAATAAAATCCTTCAACTCCTCGATTTGGCTTAAGAAATTAGACACGTGCTTTCTATTCTTCTCCAGTCATTATCAGTGGATCACAACAGCACCAAGAATTACCAGTTTAATTGCTTCTGTTAAACACACCGAGACAGGCAATTGAATAACTATTGAGCCCATCTCCAGTCTGTGAACCGGTGGCCGGTTCAGCGTCGGAGAGGTGTCACGACAAAACAATCCAATCCGCCCAGCGCATCACGACCCGGCCTCGGTTTCTCCTGCAGCGGGCCCTGCAGCTGTCAGCGGCAGCGCTAATTACTGGACCAGCAGGAGAAATTTCCGCATTACAGAACCCTAATTTCGTCTGTTGAACATTTAAATTCCTTCGTCCCTTTAGAAGATAACAGGAGCAATTAAATGCAACTCAACCTTGGTGAGATTGCACTCCTGAGAAAGGCAGCCGAGGAAGAGCAGGTTCAACGCCTCGGAGAGCAAAAACACAATATGGTGGAAAATAAGAAAAAGTCGGCTTTGTCCAACACGAGCCACCAAAATTCACACTTCTTATTCAATTTAACAAGCAGAAGTGTGGAGGAAAAACGGCTGAAAGCTTCACAGGAAATTAACCAAACAAATTCAAAAAACTTTTTTTTTTAACTTGAGTACTTAATTTTTAACCTCTATGACAAATCTTTGAAAAACCTTGAACAATCTGAGCTACAACTAAATTTTATTTTCAGTAGTGTATTTTTAACCGAATATAAAAGAGGACGCAAACAATGTCAAAGAGTTACTGCTGCTAAAGGTTGTAGTACCAGTTGCTGAATTTTGGGATGTACATGTTTGATTACTAAATGTCGATGCTCTCTTCTGGTTTGACCTATAAAATCTGCTAAAGAACAGGCCAATGATCTGCAAAACTACAGAATTAATGAGGCTCATACTCAACATTTTAGGCATTTTTTCCCCCTCATCTAAATCTCTGGTTGTATAAATGTTATTAGAAAAATCACATCGTCATGCGCACAGATAGGAACAGCAGCAGGTTTTCTTGGTGTGGAAATGTACCAGACGACGCGTCGATCCGCAGACCCGCTGCACACTGTGGGGATTCAGATCAGAGCACATCTTCTGCACGCAAATCAACCAAACTGCACTATTGATCTCTGTAAAAGTATATTGTTTTAATTAGTATGTGGTGAATATGCTGACAAACATAAGATGGGTAACACTTAAAGCTATGGCTCCTCTAAGTGCTCGGCCGCCGCAGCAGAAATCCATCCCAGTGGCTAAACAATAACATTGAGATAGGATGATGCACGGATCAATATTTAGGCATGAATGTAGCTGCTGAATCGTCCAATCGATGCCACAGACATACAGTAATTCCTAAGAGCACTTGGCTGCAGGAGTAATCTGGGCCTCTGCTGCACCACTACATGCTCTCAGCCCAACCTGATACTTGTTAGTCCTCAACTAAACCCTTCCATAAAAACCAAGGCGGCTTTTGTTTTTAATGAAACCGAAGAGCTTCCATCAGATTCACCTCCATGTTTCCTCTGGTTAATAACAGAAAATATGTCAGAAAGATCATTAAAATCGCACAAGTGTGATTCTCTGTTTCCTTGGAGATTTGTGTTTGTTTACTTATTCCCACTGTGTTGGTTCTGTTTACTAAATATATCTGCTCATCTTACAGTTAAATACAGTCCTACAGTCTTTTCTGTAGTACCTGCAACAGGTAGGAGTCTTAATGAACCACACTGGATTAATTGTTTTCATCCGGTTTTATAACAACTCAAATGAAGAATGATTCATTACCAAGAAAATTCAAATACAGTAAACAAACATGGCTGAGTTTGGTACTCCTCTCAGTTTGATTTCTGCAATAAAAAACATTTTATTTAGAGTCAAGAAGTGATGCAAAATATACATTAAAATGAAAACTTTTCATTAAAACATTTGTAATGTATGCTAATTACCTGGAAATTAGAGGCTACCATGGAAACCCAGTATTCACAGATGGTTGTGGTCCAGAACCTCAGGAAAAACCCGGATGCCACTGTAAACACTTACATTTCTAAAATCTTGAAATACTTTTAAACTAGATGCCAAACAAAGTGCCAGTCATTCAAGTTTCACAGAGATGCCCCTCCCCCACGCGTTGCCACACATTGTCTGTCAGCGAGCTGAAATGGAAGAGTCAAACTTCTTCCTTCCTCACTTAAAAAAAAACCCCAAAACACACACATTTTCAAAGTGGGGGCAAAGAATAAAATAATAAACACATGACAACTTTGGCTCACAGGTATTATTTTCTGTCACATAAAAAAAACTATAGCGACATGCCAGGTAAACGGCTGACAGGACGACAGGTGATCTACTGGAGCAGATAGCTTGACCGGCTAACCAACTACCTGGATGCATCGTGATAGAGCTATGATATTCTACACAACATCTACAATATAACCAAAATACTAGTTCTTAGTCAATTCTGCACATTGAACAACATTGAGATTACACCAAAGAACTGTTGCCGTTTCCTTGGAGACACCTGCAGATGTGGTTCAGCAGAGCCTGATGTGGGACAACCTCCTAATCCTCCTCCTTCCTGCCATGTGTCAAATGTCTAACCAAAAAAAAAAAAAAAAAAAAAAAAAAAGACACCTGCTGCATGCATTCAACAACAAGCAGTGTAAATGTCTGTTTATGTAAAAATTTGTTAGCAGATGAAATTTCAAACATTAAAAGCTGTAACAAACTGATGGTGTGAGTGTGCTCACCCTAAGCTGAAACTCACCTTCTGACTCAGATTTAGCACCAACTCTGGATGGAGTCAATCAGAACGCTACAACTAATGCTCACCCACAATAACCTGCTAATGCGCTTTGCATTTCAGAGCCTTCTCCTGACTGATACCCTTATGCAATTAAACAATTTTGAAATGTTGTAACCTCTCTGCAAGTGTCAGGGAGATAGATCACAAGAAAATACTAACATGAAACCTCAACTTCAATTCTCTGTCTCATGATTTGTGCATTTTTATTTTTATTTTTTGTGGGAGATCATTTTTCTAAAACATTCCAAAGAAAATGTAGCTTAGAAAACAGAAATAATTTGCTGCAATTCTACAAGACACGTGACTGGTTGACGGGTCCAAAGCAGTCAATCCAAGAGGTAGACTGTGGATGTTAGCTTCTGTGCCAGTTTCCACTATTAAGGATAAGAATATTTGGTGTTTGGCTAATTAAAACAGGCAGTTCTAAGTATTTTTAGAGGCGTTCAAGTATTTATGGATTTTAGCTATTTGCAGGTATTTTGCTTTTTACATATTTCTTTGTTTTCAGTTTGATTCTGCAGGATTTCTGTCACGTTAGGGACAGGAAGGTTCTGAAGTTATTTATTGTGATCTCATTTTACATCACTAAAACCTGACACTTTAAATGGATATCTGCCAAGAAAACATCCAGAACAAGATGAGCCTGGTGGCTATAAAAGCCTTTTTTTTTTTTTTAAGAGAATCCTGCAGGTTTCTGCTTCAGTGTTTTCCTGTCAGTGTGATCACCTACCAGTCGTACTTCTAGATAATCTATTCACAAGCTCATTTTATTTCTTGCTTACAGTTTCAGCAAAAACATATTTTAGTACTGAGTGTTTTATTTCCAGCTCCTTTCAAAGAGCTTCAATTTATAGTGAACTATTACCAGAGAAAGCCTGATTTTCCTCTGCATGCGGCGGCGGTTTTAAAGCACCTGAACAAACGAGCGTTTTGATGACAGAAATAAAAGCCGCCCTTTCTCTCTGTGATTCAGAAATGTGGCTCGGAGCGGCCGACGCCGTTATCATCAGAACCCTCTTCTGTTCTCTGCATCTGCAGCTCCCGTTAGGTCCAGATCAATGGCCGGTCAATCCTTTCCCTGAGAGGATGCATCGATCCAGGCTCCCCCGCGCTGACCGCCCTCTAATCTCTTGAAACGGTGCGGCGCTCCGGCCGTTCCTTGGGAGCCCGGTATCCTGCCTGCGCCGCGGCCCGGCGCACAGTACAGAAAAATACGTATGTGTCTGAGAAATCCATTCGCCGTCACTTTGACAGTCTGTAATTCTGAAAAGCGTTCGATATGAAGTACAGCCCATCCTGCAGAGGGGATTTAGGGCTCTGCTCTCTGCTGCTGCTGCTGCAGTGGAGCCATTCTGACATTCAGTCACCGAAAGAACCCTTCCTTATTAGATTCATCTAACTGATCAAGAATTACAAAAAT